CTTCACTTCACTTCACTTCACTTCACTCACTTCACTCACTCTCACATCCCTCACTCACACACACACCACACTCACATCACTCACTCACACTCTCACTCACTCACTGTACATGAACATACATACATACATACACACAAACTTACCCACCATCACCGCTCCATCACTCTTATACTTCCTCTTCCCTTCTTGCTTTTCTATGGTCAGTCTAAGTCTAAAGAAGTTGGTAACATGTGGGGTTATCCGGTCCTTTAATTTTGAGTTTGGCACTGAGAGTCTATCTCAACACTTTTTCATCCCAAAGACTGCACGCACCTTCAGCCAAGCATCTGCTCTTCCGGATTCTGAATGGCAAATGCGTTGCATGCTGCCACCCCCTTGCAAACATGGAAGACCTACAAGGAAAGAATTACCTTGCCTTCGCGCATTCATTCCAGGATTTCAACCCTTGAATCAGTATCCACCAGTATGAAGGTACCCGCACCCTGCCTGTTGGCCTACCAAACATGTTAGATTCTCTTTGTGGGAATGTCCGCCTAGTCTTGAACATTGGGGTCCCAGCATCGAGTAATTTTCTGCCTTCAATGCACATACGCAATCATGCATATCCATGAGTTGAATTGTATGCACATTGCCTGTGCAAACGCTTCGCACCTGACCACTGTCAAATGGTCCAACCACCACAGATATATTTGCCATCAAAAGGGTCACCCCAAGTGTCCCTGAGATCCTGAGGTCAACAAACGCATTCCCCTTGATCTCAGTCTCGGCAACAAAAGCATGCAATTCATCCCAAGAGTGCCTGAAAAATGGAACATGCTCTTTTCCCCCAAACAGTGTGGCCACACTGAGGGGTTCCTACGGTAGGTGTTACGGCCCGGTGTTCAATCGAGGTGGTATCCGTCGCGTTGGCATTTTTCCTTTAAATTTCCACACAACATGGCTCTCTTGAAATGTCCGTGTGCATTTCGACTGCGCAGGCTCGCACAAAACGCTGGCCCCGGGCGACGCGTCCGGCATTTTCCCTGTAAATTTCCATACAAAATGGCTCTTGTGAGATCGCCCATGGAACCCTCTCGTCATTTTGGGCCTGTCAGCTTGTCACTTTGGGCCTGTCGCATTGCTCTCGTTGCGGCGCGGTGCTCATTGGATGGTCAAGGAGATCTAGCGCAGAGACAAGGAGGTCTCTTTTACAGAGCTTGCCCAGAGATCTTGCACAGAGAGCTCTTATAGCGATCTTGTACAGAGATCTTAACGAGAGGTCCCTTACAAAGATCTTGCCAAGAGACCTCTGATAGAGATCTTGTACAGAGATCTTGCCAGGACACCTCTTATGGAGATCTTGTGCAGAGACATTCCGTGGAGATCTGTTGCAGAGATCTTGCCAAGAGGTCTCTTACATAAATCTTGCCAAGAGAGCTTTTATAGACTGGTTGTACAGAGATCTCAAAAAGAGATCTTGGCAAGAGATCTCTTGTAGTGATCTTGTCCAGAGGTCTGCCAAGAGACCTTTTATAGAGACCTTGCCCAGAGATCTTGCCAACAGGTCTCTTACAGAGATCTTGCCAACGGAGCTCTGATAGAGAGCTTGTACAGAGATCTTGTACAGAGACCTGGTGCAGAGAGCACAGAGGTCTTGCTCGGAGATTCTTTATATATAGATAGTTTGAGCAGAGATCTCACTTCGAGATCCCTTACAAAAATCTTCTGTGGAGATCTCCTATAGGCACCTTGTGCAAATAGCCTTACACAGGGATCTTGCACAACAGCTTCTACAGAGAACCTCTCAAGGAGATCTTGCGCACGATCTTCTACAGAGATCTTCACGAAGGGAACTTGCAGAATCTTACCTGATACCTCTTCTTCCAGAGACCACCTTGATTGAACACCATGCTTTCACTAATAGGGTTGCTCTTGTCCTGCTAGTTTGCAGCCACTGATCCTTTTAGGTCCCTTCCACCTTTCCCTTTAGAAGCCTCACTACACCGTGTTTGGGGTCTCTTGCCGGGATAACGAAGAAGATAACCAAAACACGTATGTATTCAAGAAAGAAAGGTCGTTCCAAAAGATGCAAAAAACATAGTACCTTTGGTTTCCCAGGCAGTGGCATGTTTTGTGTGTGCTGGCTGCTCTTTTGCTACGGCAAAGCCGACCGCCAGGCCAGGGCATGGCACGAAGTCACCGCCAGCAATGCCCCCTCCGTGCGCAATGGTCACACCAGCGTCATTGATGCGCAGCAGCGCATTTGGGTCTTTGGTGGTTATTATTACAGTCTCAACCTTAAAATTTCAGCAGCGCAATGTGTGGCATGAAGGCTCTTTTGGGTTTGATTTGTGGCAGAAAGAAACCATGCAGGCCCAATGTCGTTGCTGTAATGTGGGCTTGAGGTGCCCGCTTGAATGATTTGCACTACTTTGACATCCAGGTTTGTGAGCATTGGTGTCACCATTTTTTTAACTGATTGTTTTTTACTTGATGTTTGTGTTGCTGTCCTTCAATGTTCTCAGTTTGTGTCCGGTCGAATTCCAGTCCAACGAGCCTTGAGTGCTTGACATCTGATTGATTCTTGGAAGTTTCAAGGTGCTTGACAAAATTCAACTTGTTGTTACTGTGGTAGTTTGTTTTGCTTCCTTGTCGCATTTCTATTTAAGGAAACTGTCAGGCCAAGGTGTGGCATGAAGTATCTGCCCAAAACGCCCCTCCTGGGCGGAGCTTCCACACAGCTGTGATGGACGCAAAGCAGCGGATGTGGATCTTTGGGGGCAACCGTCGTGGCCCCAAAGTCAAAACCAAGAAATCGTGTGATCGTGTGTGCGGGTGCTTGTGGTGCGAGATGTCTGGGACAAAGTCAGTGAGAAATCCAATCCCTTTGCTTGCCATGGTTGCTGCTATCTGGCTGTGCCCAGGTCCTCCGCGCCAGGGTGAATACAATGATTTGCACTACTTTGACATCCAGGACACGTTTTTATTTTCTTGGGTGGTGGTGTTTTAGGCGAGCAAATTTAGATTTTGAATCCATCCTGTCAACGCTTCGGAATTCAGTTGGTTGACGGGTATGCACCAGCGTTTTGACATCAATTGTTTCTGGAAATCCCAAGATGCTTGACAAACTTCAAAGTTTGCTTCTGCAATTTGTTTCTTTAACATCACGTCTCTTTGTGAGTTGAGCGAGGATGTTTTTTGCTGGAGCAAAGCTGTCAGGCCAAGACGTGGCAAGAGGTGAAAGCCAGCAACCCGCCCAGCCCGCGAGCCGAACACACCGCTGTCATGGACGCGCAGCAGCGGATGTGGATTTTTGGTGGTGACGGTGTTCACTCAGGCCAGGGCGCTAAGGTTATCTTTGGGTTGTGTTTTCTTTTTTTTGTGTGTGTGTGTGCTGAAGATTCTTGCGGGTGTGACGCGTGGGATGTTGAGAACCAGTGCAGTTGATCGCTGCAATTTGGTTTTCAGGCACCTTGCACTATTTTGACATCCAGGCCATGCTTGTAGAGCGTAGTTGCTCTGAAAGGTCACGGGTCCTTTCTGATAAATTCTGCCAGAGAGTTTTGTACGTCATCATGTCTTGATGCTGTCATTGTTTCTTAATTTTTGCGACCTGTAAGCATACAGTACCAATTCTGATTCTGTGATTTAAAGTGGCACCAGCGCTTTGACATCATTTTTGTCATGAAAGTCTGAAGATATCTGACGATGCTTGATTTTTCACTGCAATTTGTTGCTTTGACATCAAGTTTCGTTTAGTGAGGTTTCTGTGAATTTTATTTCCTTGTTGGGTTTTGGTAGGGCAAACTTGTCAGGCCAAGACATGGCAACAGGTGAAAGCCAGCAATGCGCCCTCCAAGAAGTCTGGCCACACGGCTGTCATGGACGCGCAGCAGCAGATGTGGATATTCGGCGGTTGCGCCCCCAGAGTCAAAACTTTGTATTTTGTGTGTGTGTGTGAGTGTGTGCGTGTTTTGTGTATATTCTTTCGCACGGTAAACCACAAAATGCCCTACTGTAAATCAATTTCCCAAAATCGCATTCAAAGATGCTTATTTTGTTGGATAGAATTGAAATGAGGCAACTAGAATTTGGCATATGAGCATGTCAATGTGAATGATGGCGCGCCGTGGCCCATACCCAGTAGCACATCAATTCTGAAAAACATATTCTTTTAACGTGCTGATTCCAGTCCAGATATGAGACAACGATATGATATGATTTAATATATACAATTATAGATGAAACAGGTTGTGCCATGGTGATTCTTCTTCCCTGATGTGACTTTCCACTACCTGATGTGACTTCTCCGTATCGCCGCCGTGCCATGGGGATGATGTGACTTTTCCCGCCTGATGTAACTTAAGTACGGTGCTTGTAAAAAACATTAAAGAACAGCTGTAGAACAAATCATGGGAGCAGCCACTGTGCCATGAAGGGATACAGCATGATAGAGTTAGTTTCAGACCTTCGGGGAAAGACACACAAACAGCTGCTGATGCAACTGGGCATGTGCAAAATAGCAACGGACACATGCCCTTAGAATGCGTCTCGCCCTCCAACGCCATATCTCAATGCATCCATATGGTATGGCGGGCAATGGTGTTGCCGCACTTCAAACACAAAAAGAGGAATAAAACAATTGTCCATAGATGCAAATAGCTGCTAGCTAGGGGAATGACACCAGAACAGTCTCCGATGCAACTGCACATATGGCACATAGCAAGGGAAAAATGCGAACGAAAATGGGGGTGGTGGCCAAGCCAGCCTCAGCATTGCAACAATTCCATTACGCACCTGGGCTCGAATCAACTTCGTGTCAGACTCACAATATAAAATCAATTTTTGTATTCTGTTTGCTGGTTTGATGCTGCCTTTTGCATTCTATCTCCATCCGTTTTACTTATAATCTGTTCATATTCAAGCTTACTTGAAAAACAACGTATTTTGAGTGTGGGTTAGTTACAGCACGTGGTCTTGAGGTTACAGTGGCAATGCCAATAATTTGCACTATTTTGATATCCAGGCCACGCTTTTTGAGACTAGCTCGGTTCTTTGTGCCAGCGAGTCTTGTGATTTTCTTTGTCACTGCTTGATTTGTTTATTTTTTTCTCAGCTTTTGTGCCCTATAAACTGTAGGCATGTCAATTCTGATTCAGGACGTTTTTTCTGAAAGTTTGAAACCATCTGAAAATGCTTGACCCGATATGAGACTTTGTTACTGCGATTCATTGCTTTGAAATCAAATTTCGTGAGTTGAGTGAGTTTTTTTGTGACACATGCTGTTTTATTTCCTTGTTGGGTTTTGGTAGGGCAAACTTGTCAGGCCAAGACATGGCAACAAGTGAGCGCCAGCAACCCCTTCGAGCGGTACTACCACTCTGCTGTCATGGACATGCAGCAGCGGATGTGGATATTTGGTGGTAATGCTGATGATGATGATGATGGTCGCGGCCCTACAGTCAAACCAGCTTGTGTGTTGTGAAGACTCTTGTGGGTGCGACCTGTGGGACAAAGAACCAGTAAGAGACGCGTTACCTTCGTGATTGCTGCGCTTTGATCATGAGGTACTCGAAGCTGGAATGATTTGCGTTACTTTGACACCCAGGCGATGCTGCTTTTTGGGGAGAGTTGCTTTTCAAAGATAGTGGTCTGCTGGGTTAGTTTTAAATGCCACAACTTCTTGCTTGTTGTCGTTGGTTTGAGTCCAAATCGGATGCTAATCCTGGGTTTGATGCGTGCAAATGGGGAGCAGAGTTGATGCTCTTTGCGGTGTTGTCTAGAACAATGCGGGAAAAACCCACTCGACACGACGCCCGGATTGAATTCACATGTGCATGTTGCTTCCGAGTTTAAAATGCGGAGAAATTACTGGTTCAACTCCATGTGCTAAGCACATAAGTGCATATCGTAAGTATTTGATATCTTGAGATTTTGCATGACAGTCCTCTTCATCAAGATACGTTTGGAGGTAGAATCTGTGGGATCAGAATAGGACGGGACATGTGGGCAATGGCGTCATTTTTGTCTTGGCCCCTGGGCCGTTTCACAGAATTCTTTGGCGAAGGTTGCAACTCGTTACATTTGCCGATGTATGGTTCGTTGAGAAGTGCCATAGTTGCACTTGACCTGATTTAAATAATGCTCAATTGGATCAAATCTGCTTGATTTCTCCACGTCGTGACAGCCAAGCTCCCCTACATTCTACATGTGGTGATCGATCTAAAGGTCCTTGTAAGGAGTTTTAATTGCGAAAGCAGTGCATGTTATGTTGGAAACCCTCGCGAAAGTTTTTTTCTTCGAGTTCGCGAAAGTAAAATTTTATTTCGAAAGTTTCGCGAAAGTTGGGTATTATAATTAATCATTATATGTAAAGGGCTGCCACCCACTGCCGCCCGGGGTCCGGCAGGAGAAGGGCACCAGAGAATGCGAGTAGCAGTAGCCAAGTTTCCAAAAGTGAGGCTTTGCGAGAGCCAAACACCAAGGCCCCTGGTCTTCGCTTTTCCTTCAGTGCACCCCCTGCTGATGGCCGGGGTCTGTGAATAGGGATATTTTCGCGAAAGTTCCGCGAAAGTTATGCGAAAGAGCGGGCGAAAGTCAAAGTGAATGTTGAAGGGGGTGGGCCAGTAAACTTTGCAAAAAAAATCTGTCCTGAGAAGGGATTCCGTGATGCTAGCTGCATGTTTAAAAGGCTACCAAGAAGTGATCCGTGATTCTCTGGCGTAATTTGGCAGGTGGTGAACGAATCTTCATAAGAGGTGTTGTTGGCCAACATGGGCCCCGCGAAAGATAAACATGGAGTTCGCGAAAGTTTCGCGAAAGTAAAATTTTTATTCGCGAAGAATGGCCGTTCCGGGAAAAAGATCAACAACCATATAGATTTGGTTGTCTCTGTGAGACCATTTCCAGTATCCTAGTCTTACCCGCGGTCGGCTCACCCACCTACCGGTGATATCCCGTACCGCCTACCTGATTCTTCGGTTGATCATCAGTGGTTGTGTCTGCAATTGGTTATATACCTTCCCGCTGGCAATTTCCCAATTTAGTTGCATGATTTTCCCATGTATAGATGCCCATTTAGTTCGGAAATTTCCAAGCCATGCTTGATGACGCTGGAGGGTACTAGCCAATATTCCATGACCATGAATATTCCATCATGGGACATGCCATATCCCAGGAAACATCCCATGACAAACTGCAGGGTATCCTCATTCCCACTTTGTCCAACCATTTTTGATGAAGTCACGAAACCCTGGGCCCTGGCCAGGGGGGTGCAGTTGGCACGACCACTCCGTCGGCAAACGGCTTAATTGCAGAGATCATTGATGATGAGGTGGCGGCCATGAATTGGGCCCCTGGGAAGATTACCAGCTTTTGGAGAGTCCAAATCATCAAACTATTTTTCGTGTGAGGTCAAAAACCCATTTGGTTTCTTGTTGGTATTTGGTTTCTACTAGCCTATTGAAAAGAGATCGTTACAATCCATTGTTGGAATATCGTATCTCTCTCTCTCTCTCACAAGGAGTTCAACAGAAGCTGAAGGCGAGCAAAAGTCTTATAGTATACATCGTATTAATTATGATACAGCTATAAACAAATGCTAGAACCAGTTTGCAACCAGGTTTGTGACGTTGCTTATGTGTGTATATGTGTATACATATTACATATGCAAATAATAAAGAAGCAAATGACTATACATTTGTCGGACAGGTTTCGCTTTTGATTGGCTGCTGTGGCCGGCAGAACCAGACATGCATGCACAGACGCAAAGGGGAAGTTGTCAGTTTCAACTAGGAAGCTAAGCCCCTGGGTATATTCTGAACCGATAGATTCGTACTATTTCTTACTGGTATAATATGATATTTCTCATTACTTGTTGTGTTTTGCAACATCGAAAGATGTCTTTAGAGTCTTGCAGTGGAAGGATCAGCTCTCGGCTGCGTTTCCTTCGGCAACTGAGCCGCCAGGCCGGGACATGGCAATACGTGACTGCCAGCAACCCACCCGCCGAGCGGGAAGCCCCGGCGGTCATTGATGCGCAGCAGCGCATCTGGATTTTCGGTGGTGAACGGTCTGCAGGCCGCTATCAAGGTCGCGGCCCCAGGGTCAAAGCAATTCTTTCGAGTTCGACGTCTGGGAGGAAGAACGAGACAGTAGATCAACACCTTTGTGATTTCTGCGATGTGATCCTCAGGATACAGAGACATATTCTTGAATGATTTGCATGTCTTCAACTTGTGGGACAAAGAATCAGTCAGAGAATCACCACCATCTTCAGGAGTCGATAAAGGGAAGGCCTTCTTCAATGATCTGCACTACTTTGACACCCAGGTTTGGGAGTAGCTGCTGCCGTGGCTGATGTTTCAGCATGCATGTCACGGATATATCTTGCTATTACTTCATACTTTTTTCTTGATGTGTCCTTCGCTTACATCCGTTTTAAATTCGAAATTCTGTCAGTAAATTAAGCATTGCATTGACCCATTGACTTCGTTATATGGTAGGCAGGTGTCAAGATGCTCGACCAGATTGAGATTATGTTGCTGCAATTTGTTGATTTTACATAAGTTTTGTTATTTTAGAGATGTTGTCACTTTGAACACCCAATGTTGCGAGCTTTGTACTCGTTTGGTTTGAGGTTAAGATATAACATAATATAACGCACTTTTTGGTACAATAATGTATTCGCAAGTGAACACCATTTTTTTTGTTATTTTTTGAGTTTGGCACTGAGAGTCTATCTCAACACTTTTTCATCCCAAAGACTGCAAGTACCTTCAGCTGAGCATCTGCTCTTCCGGATTCAGAATGGCAAATGCGTTGCATGCAGCCGCCTCTTCCACAGGGCGTTGCCTCACGTCCAGCCCCCTTGCAAACATGGAAGACCTACAAGGAAAGAATGACTTTGCCTTCCCACATTCATTCCACTATTTCAACCCTTGAATCAGTATCCGCCAGTATGAAGGTACCCGCACCTTGCCTGTTGGCCTACCCAAACATGTTAGATTCTCTTTCTGGGAATGTCCGCCTAGTTTTGAACATTGGGGTCCCAGCATCGAGTAATTTTTTGCCTTCACTGCACATACGCAATCATGCATATCCATGAGTTGAATTGTATGCACATTGCATGTGCAAACGCTTCGCACCTGACCACTGTCCAATGGTCCAACCACCACAGATATATTTGCCATCAAAAGGGTCACCCCAAGTGTCCCTTAGGTCCTGAGGTCAACAAACGCACTCCTCTTGATCTCAGTCTCGGCAACAAAAGCATGCAATTCATCCCAAGAGTGCCTGAAAAATGGAACATGCTCTTTTCCCCCAAACAGTGTGGCGACACTGAGGGGTTCCTACGATAGGTGTTACGGCCCGGTGTTCAATCGAGGTGGTATCCGTCGCGTTGGCATTTTTCCTTTAAATTTCCACACAACATGGCTCTCTTGAAATGTCCGTTTGCATTTCGACTGCGCAGGCTCGCGCAAAACGCTGGCCCCGAGCACGCGTTCGGCATTTTCCATGTAAATTTCCATACAAAATGGCTCTTGTGAGATCGCCCATGGAACCCTCTCGTCATTTTGGGCTTGTCAGCTTGTCACTTAGGGCCTGTCGCATCGCTCTCGTTGCGGCGCGGTGCTCATTGGATGGTCAAGGAGATCCGCAGAGATCTTGACAAGGAGGTCTCTTATACAGAGCTTGTCCAGAGATTTTGCACCGAGAGCTCTTATAGCGATCTTGTACAGAGATCTTGCCAAGAGGTCTCTTACATAATCTTGCCAAGAGAGCTTTTATAGAGAGGTTGTACAGAGATCTTGCCAGGACACCTCTTATGGAGATCTTGTACAGAGACATTCCGTGGAGATCTGTTGCAGAGATTTTGCCAAGAGGTCTCTTACATAATCTTGCCAAGAGAGCTTTTATAGAGAGGTTGTACAGAGATCTTGCCAGGACACCTCTTATGGAGATCTTGTACAGGGACATTCCGTGGAGATCTGTTGCAGAGATTTTGCCAAGAGGTCTCTTACATAAATCTTGCCAAGAGAGCTTTTATAGAGAGGTTGTACGGAGATCTCATAAAGAGATCTTGGCAAGAGATCTCTTGTAGTGATCTTGTCCAGAGGTCTGCCAAGAGACCTTTTATAGAGACCTGTACAGAGATCTTGCCAACAGGTCTCTTACAGAAGTCTTGCCAACGGAGCTCTGATAGAGAGCTTGTACAGAGATCTTGCCAGGAGAGCTCTTATAGAGATCTTGTACAGAGACCTGGTGCAGAGAGCACAGAGGTCTTGCTGGGAGATTCTTTATAGATAGTTTGAGCAGGGATCTCACTTCGAGATCCCTTACAAAGATCTTCTGTGGAGATCTCCTATAGACACCTTGTACAAATAGCTTTACACAGGGATCTTGCACAGCAGCTTCTACAGAGAACCTCTCAAGGAGATCTTGGGCACGATCTTCTACAGAGATCTTCACAAAGGGAACTTGCAGAATCTTACCTGATACCTCTTCTTCCAGAGACCACCTTGGTTGAACACCATGCTCTCACTAATAGGGTGGCTCTTGTCCTGCTAGTTTGCAGCCACTGATCCTTTTAGGTCCAGTCCCTTCCACCTTTCCCTTTAGAAACCTAACTACACAGTGTTTGGGCTCTCTTGCCGGGATAACAAAAAGATAGCCAAGACACGTATGTGTTCAAGAAAGAAAGGTCGTTCCAAAAGATACAAAGAAAATGATACCTTTGGTTTCCCAGGCAGTGGCATGTTTTGTGTGTGCTGGCTGCTCTTTTGCTACAGCAAAGCCGGCCGCCAGGCCAGCACATGGCACGAAGTCACTGCCAGCAATGCCCCCTCCATGCGCACTGGTCACACCAGCGTCATTGATGCGCAGCGGATTTGGGTTTTTGGTGGCTATTATTATGAGTCCGGTCTCAACCTTAAAATTTCAGCAGCGCAATGTGTGGCATGAAGGCTCTTTTGGGTTTGATTCGTGGCAGAAAAAAAACCATGCAGGCCCAATGTCGTTGCTGTAATGTGGGCTTGAGGTCTCCGTTTTGACCGCTTCAATGATTTGCACTACTTTGACATCCAGGTTTGTGAGCATTGGTGTCACCATTTTTTTAACTGACCGTTTTTTACTTGATGTTTGTGTTGCTGTCCTTCAATGTTCTCAGTTTGTGTCCGGTGGAATTCCAGTCCAACGAGCCTTGAGTGCTTGACATCTGATTGATTCTTGGAAGTTTCAAGGTGCTTGACAAAATTCAACTTGTTGTTACTGTGGTAGTTTGTTTTGCTTCCTTGTCGCATTTCTATTTAAGGAAACCGTCAGGCCAAGGTGTGGCAAGAAGTCTCTGGCCAAAACACCCCCTCCAAGCGTT